CGGGCACGGGGTCCCCAGCGCTAGTTCCCGCAGGGTCTCCTCTAGGGCCTGCCCCGCGGGCGTGTCCACACAGGCAGCACCCACTGCCTTCCCACAGCGGGTGCCCCCGCCCAGGGCCCCCGGGGCCAAGACACGGGCACCGCGAGGAGGAAATGGGGCTGGCCTAGCCTCCGCGTCAGGAGGCCCAGGCCCAGGTTCGCTTGCCCACCACGATGGCCCCGCGCCACTGAGGATGTGCGCCGTGTCCTCCCTACTCCGGCGGTGCGGCCGCTGGTGAGGACCACCAAGTCCCTGTGGGCGCTGTACCTCGTCCCCCCCAGGACCTGGGGCAGGTCCCGATCTCGGTGGTTGTATTGGGGGGGGGGGCGGTCATAGATGACGTCCAGGTACAGGGCTGGATTTCCTGGGTGCAGGTAGGAGGTGGTGTAGGGGATGCCAGAAATGTGGCTCCCCGTGCAGTGCCCCTGAGCTCCCTCCGGACGCTGGCCTCCAGGAAGCCCCCGAACTTGCTCACCACCTCCTGGCTCGGGATGTCGTCCACCCGCAGGAGCCCACGTCGCCCTCCAGAACGTCATGGCGGATGCCCTCTGTAGCCGGACAAGCAGTTCCTCTGTGTGAGGTTGGTGAGTGCTGGGACTTGCCGTGGGCTCATAGGAGGTGGCCAGGCGGGGGTCCTTCAAGGAGCTCTGCACTCCTGCCCGCCGTCAGGACGTGGGCCAGTGTCTGAGGGTCTGAAGTGCCCAGGCTCTCCCCACACTTGATGGCCTGCCGATGGCTCCCTGCTTCCCCATCAGGCTCTCCGGGAAGCAGTAGTTACCCAGCAGGACCTTGGCCATGTCCAGCACCAGGCTGGGCAGGAAGAGATGTGTGGGGCCAACCAGGCCACAGAGCAGCTGGACAAGAGCAGGGCCCACCCCTCCTCATGGGGACCCAGAGTGGGGCCGCCTCCTGCACAGAGCTGCCTCCTGCACAGAGCTGCCTCCTGCACAGAGCTGCCTCCTGCACAGAGCTGCCTTGACCCTTACTGCCTGTGTGGCTGCCTTCCTTCCTGCTGCCTTCCTTCCTCAGCCTTCTCAGAGCAGACGGAAGGTCTCAGCACAGACAGAATGTGGCGCTGAGGCTCGGCTTCCACCTCCAGTTCGCCTTTAATCCCAGCTAATTCGAGCTCCTCAGCCTCCGGCTGGCACAGGCTGGTTTGACCCAGAAGGTATGCTGAGTCTCATCTTGCTGTGTCACTTCTGTGCATAATCATGGGAATAATGACCATTTATTCTGAGTTCCTGCCACATGCAGGCTCCATGCTGTATAGGCCGACAGTCTCCTTGCAAGTGGGGTCATTAACTTGCAAGTAAGTAGCATTTCCCATTGCTTCTGGAACTAGATAGAATTCACTGGAGGCCTGGTTCTGCCGCTCTTCTCTGTGGCCTTCCATCTCACTTATTGTGTAATTAAGTGAGAAAATAGGCGTAAAGCGCTTCACAGTATCTAGCAAGAAGGAAGCACCTAGCTACTAATATGTTCCCCCTGTTAGATATTATCCTGTTTTTTAGCAAAAGAAACAATTTAGTAGGTGGAGGTGGGGTGGAGAGAAAGCCTGGGGGTCATCAGCTCACACAGTGCAGAGACCGAGTCCAAGGCCCCCATCAACTTCAGAGCTTGAAGTTTATTCCTAGGCCCTGACAGCTTCCAAATGACAGGAGTGGCATGTCTGGACCTCAGTGTGGGGCTGGTGAGTGAGGAGGGGACCTGTCTTCCCACATCTCAGAACCAGGGATTCCAGGTCAGAGGGAGTTAGCTCTGAGGCCTGAGGAGCATCCATTCTCCTGTTGGCTGAGAGCTCGGCCCCAGCCCACTGCTCACTTGAGTAGGACTTGGATCCCTGTGGTCCCAGGGCCCACAGGTAACCAGACCACTCCCTACCTGCATGGAGCACATGAGCCAGTCCCAGGTGATCGACTGCTGGACTCGCAGTTTCCCAGTTCCTGCTCCTTCACATGGAAGTGACGTGGGTCCTGTCTAGGACCGAGAACCCCTGCTTTTTCTCTGCATCCCTCCAGGGGTGGGCATTTCCCTCACTTCACAGATGAGACAACGATGGCTCAGAGACAACCACCACCGAAAGCATGGGCACACAGCCAGGCAAAGCACTGGGGGAGCGGCCTGGCTCTGCTCCTGTCACTTGGCCCGTTATCTCCAGCACACATGTGGGTTGTGCAGCCAGCAGGCAGGCGCGCATGTGGGCCTCAGCAGACAGCCAGAGGAGGCGGCCGTGGGGAGGGGGTGGGGCTTTCTCAGCACACTTGACAGCCATAATCTACTCTCTGGAAATCATTATCTGAGGATGTTTACCAAGTGGTTTATGAAGGCCAAAGAGGTCAATTAGCTAAAAGAAACATATTTTTAGCTCATTAGGATTTGTTTAATGCCCAAGTGACATATGGTCACACCACTCCACCATTTGCAGCCAATGAAGTGAGCCTGATTTATAATAATAGTAAGGCCTCCTTAGTCCCCGCTGGGAAGACTGGTCCTCCTGCTCCCCCTCCACTTGGGGAATCCCAGCTCTGAGCATGCATTCTGGTCTTCTGAGGACACGTTTCTACATTGCCTGAGCCCAGGCACAGCCTCTGGACCAGGAAGGGTCGGGGCGAGGAACTGGAAGAAGCCTCTTTCTGGGGAAAGTGCTTCCCCTGGACTCTTATTAAAATGCAGGCTCAACCTGGGGTACCTGGAGCTTTGCTGCACCTGGATTTAGGTTTATGGTCCAGAGCCTCACGGAGGAGAAACTGGAATTTGTTTCGAGTCGCTGGGGTGACTGAGTTAGAGAGAGCCTGCAAGAGGAGGCAACCTGCCCTCCTGGGGTGTGGCCTGAGCTCATTGGGAGGAAATTCTGTGCCCAGAGTTATCCATCCTCTCCAGGAGCGAGGGGTGTCTGGCGCTGAGGAGAGCGTGTTGGGTGCAAGTCTCAGAATGAAAGCAGGAGATGCTATGCATCTTCCCACCCAGGCCTACCTGGCATGGCCCAGGGGCTACAGGGACTTCCCGTGTGATCTTGGGTGTTGAATTTGGACTGGGATGGAGTCAGAAGCCTCGGTCTCCTTTCCCTTGTACAGACAGCCACATGGGCATAAGTGTCAAGAGTGTGAGCTTAGGAATGCCTCCAAAACCTATGCCCTCTAGACTAGAGACCTAGATTAGGTGACATGAGTGCTCTGTGCCTTGGCTTCCTGAAGGAGAACCTCACAGACTGCTGCAACAGCGTTCACAGGTAGCCTGGAGAATCTGAGAACTCAGTCGGAGTTGGTGCGTGGCAGCCTGTGACCAGCGCTCCTCTGTGAAGTTGGGGAGAGATGCCCCAAGAGGCAGGGGTTGCCCTTAGGACCCTGGGGTACCAGGTACTTCTGAGGCCCCAAACCTTCCACAGATCTATGTATATCTGGAGAGTCTGTACACTTGAGAAATGCACAGACTTGGGGTTCACTCCAGAGTGCATCCCACACTGATCTCGGCATAAGATTAAATGGCTCAGAAGATGTGCTCTTGGGATAATCAAATAAAGCATGCCTGACCCTGGGCAACCCAGGAAAAAGCAAGTCACCTGTTGCATCATGAATTCACTTTTGCAGTGGTCAGAGGCCTTATCTGTCTGGCTATTTATCCACCCACTCACATCTATATCTATCTATCATCTATCTATCTATCTATCTATCTATCTATCTATATCATCTATTCACCTCATGTTAGTTTTTCCCTCGAAGGTCATTGTGGACATTGTCAAGTGGTACAGCAAATATCCATGTACTCTCTACCTAGATTCTACCACTGATGTTTTATTACTCTTTCTTCATCGTACTTTTGTCTCTTGGGCTCCTTCTCTAATCCTCAAGCCAACCTATTTTTCAGGTGCATTTCAAAGAAAGTTTAATCTTGTGTTTATTTTAATCCTTTTTCTTTTTAATTTTTAAAGAATAAAAGTAAAACTTATTTTTACAAGTTAAATAATTCATAAATATGTCAAAAATTTTCCCCAAAGACTTTCTAGCCCAGCAAATAGCAACAGATTAATGTGTTCATAGGTGGAAGCACATATGTAGAAAATCTACCTGCCCATCCTTCCATGAATACCTACCCATCTGTCCATCTATCTCATGTCATTGCATAACAGTTTGAACAGTAATTTACATTTTGTTTTCATTTAGGCATACAGCAGAAACATCCTTCCAAGTTGAATTATATGCATACAGTGTACCTTTTTAATGGCTGTGCAATAGTTCTTGATAATGTACTGATCCATCCCCCTAATAAGAGACACTTTAAGTTGTTTCTGTGGTTTTATTTCTTTCAATCCTCACACAAGGACATGTTTTCATTAATTTTAGAGAGAAGAAGAGAGAGGAAGGGAGAGAGAGAAAGATCAATGGGAGAGAGAAACAATAATCCATTGCTTCCCATATGCACCCTGACCCGCAACTTAGGTGTATATATGCCCTGACCTGGAATCGACCTGGAGAGGGCCTAAGCCAGTCTGGCAGCAGATGCTCAGAGCAGGCACCCTGTGTGTGTGTGTGTGTGTGTGTGTCCACTGGGGGCCTTCCCCCAGCCACACCGAGGAGGCTTGGAACAGGCGCCCCTCTGTGTTGATCTCTCAGGCTCCTGGCTGCACCTGTGTGTTGTTCTTTCCCTTGAGCAGTGGCCTGGGCGGGCTGGAAGCCTGGGTTGCTCCCAGCCACTCCTTGAGCAGTGGCCAGGGTGTGCGGGAAGCTTGGCTTCCTCCATTGCCAGGGGCAACCTAAGCCTCCAGCTCCATGGTCACTGCCATCTTTGTTGGGTTAATTTGCATACTCACCCTGATTGGCTGGTAGGTGTAGCAGAGTGACACTAATTTGCATGTTTCTCTTTTATTAGTGTAGCTATTTTTCAGTACTTGTAAATTATATAATAAATGTATACTTTCTCTGTTGTTGTTCTTACAACTTGATGTATAATAAGCTGCCCATTTTGAAGTGTAGAATTTGGTGAGTTTTGACATATGTTATACACCCATGAAACTATCACTACAATCATGATAACATACCTTGTCCTCATCCCCAAATTTTCCTCATGACCTTTGCATCTCCATCTCCAAACACTATAGATTAGTTTGTATTTTCTAGAATCTAATCTAATAAAAGACAAACATACAAATTGACCGTACCTTTGCTATGCCTTAAGCCATGCCCACCAGCCAATCAGAGTGACTATATGCAAATTAACCCAACCAAGGTGGCGGCCAGCAGCCACGGAGCTGGAGCGAGCAGGAGGCTTGGTTGCTCCAGTGATGGAGGAAGCCAAACTTCCCACCTGTCCTGGCTGGCTCTGAGCTCCACTGAAGGCAACAAAGTTTTAATTATAGAAGGTAAATAAATCTCAGAATAAAAAAAGAAAGAAAGAAAGGAGAGGCTGGGAGCTTCCTTCACTGGAGGGCTTGGCCAGCCTGAAAACGGCCCTCAGCCCCTCACCCAGGCTGGCCAGGCACCCCAGCGGGACCCCCACCCTGATCCGGGACACCCTTCAGGGAAAACCAGCTGGCCCCCACCCATGCACCAGGCCTCTATCCTATATAATGAAAGGGTAATATTCAAACTAACCCTAACAGCAGAACCACTGGGAATGACTGGCCACTATGACACACACTGAGCACCAGGGGGCACACTCAATGCAGGAGCTGCTCCCTGGTGGTCAGTGCGCTCCCACAGGGAGCATTTCTCTATTTCCCATCTACATACTGTCCACAAGCCATGCTGATGGCTGCCAGTACAGCAGTGGTGGTGGGAGCCTCTCCCGCCTCCTCAGCAGTGCTAAGGATGTCCGACTGCAGCTTAGGCCTGCTCCCCGCTGGCAAGTGGACATTCCCCGAGGGCTGCCGGGATGCCAGAGGGATGTCTGATTGCCAGCTTAGGCCTAATCCCCCGGGGAGCAGGCCTAAGCCAGCAGGTGGTCATCCCCCGAGGTGTCCCAGACTGCGAGAGGGCACAGGCCGGGCTGAGGGAACCCTCCCCGAGTGCACAAATTTTTGTGAACTGGGCCTCTAGTTTTATATAAATGGAATTATACAATACATACTAATTTTTGTCTGTCTTCTTTTATTCACGTCTTTTACTTCAAGGATTTTGTGATTCACTGATGTTGTCGAGTGTACCATTAATTCCTTTATTTATTTATTTATTTATTTATTTATTTATTTATTTATTTTTGTGGAGTAGTAGTCCATTCTATAGATATAGCACAATTTGTTATCCACTCATGTTTTGATAGACTTACATGTGAATGACTCTTACAATAGACTGCTGTGAAAGTGTGAGTATCAGTCTTTGTGTGGACACAGGCTTTTATTTTTGGTAGGACAGGACTGAATGTCTAATGTCCTAAGAGACTACCTAACTGTCTTCTAAAATTTAAATTTCTACCAGTCATATGTGAGTCTTTCAGTTTTTCCACATCAATACCAACAATTGATATAGTCGGATTTTTTATTTTAGCCATTCAAATAGGCATATAGTGGCTTCTCACTGTGATTTTAATTTGTATTTCCTTGATGACTTATGGTGTTGAGCATCTTTTTATATACAAGGTGTCCCAAAAAATGTTTACAAACTTTAACAGCTGATAGCTCAATTTTGAAAATGAAATGTATTTCATTAATGCTATTTCATTAATGCTATTTTAAGACACAGTCACATTAGATATTAACATAAAGATCCAAGTATCAGAATATGGGTATCATCCACAAAATTGAGTAAAACATATGGAAAGACATAAATAAAATCAGTAATTTTATCTCTATATTAGGGCAAGAAAATAACTGATAAATATGATTGAATATCTTGCTTTATAATTTTTATCAATGTGCATTTAGTACAATATAAATTGTCTTTATAATTATTCAAAGTGTGTGTATACTTTTTGGGGGAACACCCTATATTTATTGGCCATTTGTATATATTCTATGGTAAAATATCTGTTTAAATCATTTGCTCATTTGCTGGGGTTGGAAGGAGAGGGGAGTTTTTCTCTTATTATTGATAAAGTAGGAGTTATTTTTATATAATGGAGATGAGTCTTTTGCCTAATACATGTATTGCATTTATACCAAACTGTGGCATGTCTTTTCATGCTCTTAATGAATTTAATTCCAATTTATCAATTTTTCCTTTATAATTTATATTTTTGTCCCATATCTAATAAATCTTTGTCTATCTCAAGGCTACAAAGCTTGTCTTTAATGTCTTTTTCTAGAAGCCCTTTAGCAGGGGTGGGGAACCTCTGGCCCAT